CTCTGGAGCTGATAGGTTTTCAGTTGTGTGACTTGGTGACATTTTGTTTGCTTTTTGTTTTGAGACAGGGTCTCACTATATAGCCCTGGCTGGCCTGGAATTCACTATGTAGATTAGGCTGGTCTGGATCTCACAGAGATCCACCTGTCTCTGTCTCCTGAGTGCTGGGACTGAAGGTGTGCACCACCATGCTTGGGGACAGGAGTGATGCTTCAGCCATGGGCAGGGCAGCTGCTGATGCAGGCAGGCACCAGGATGTTATGCATTGTGCTCTTGAGGAGTCATGCCTGCACCACTCCCACAACTCAGCTCCCAATTATAGTCTCCAGGGTCACGCCTCTGCCTGCCACCTTCTGGACCCAGCATGATGGCTAAACCAGGCCGGGACTTGGAGCTGAGTCACCTGGTCCAGGACCAGCCACCTGGCCAGGCAGTCCCCAGGCCTGGCCCTCCAAACCTGGCTGAGCACCTCCCCAATGTACCCAGCTACCGCCCTGCCATCACTCGCATCCCAGTCCTTGTTTCCCGGAGGACGACTCTGTCCAACTCCAGCTTCGCCAAGGAGACCAGGAGCTCCATCCGTCGCCTGGGTAGTGTGATCCCGACCCAGCAGGCACAGGCTGTGGTGTGGTGGGGTTTCTGCATGGTGGGGGCTGTCTCTTGCATGGGTGCCATGCCATGGCTGCGGTATGGGGACATGCTTTGTGCTCATGGAATTCCCTTCCTCTGCTGATAAAACCTTCCTCCTGCTTTGTAGTGACTTAAGGGGTTTTAGTCCTCTTCTATCTGTGCCTAAAATTCCACAGTTGGAAATTCAGTTCTTTGAATTACACATTGCTTTCTGTAGGTCATTGTTTTTATGCAGGAAGTCATTCACACTCTAGTTTAAATAGTCATTCAGGTCTCTAGACCATGAAGCTTGGAGAGCTAGTAGAAGGGGCAGAAATTGTGAAAGGAGGGAAATAGGATGGGAGAGTAACGTGGGGCCCATTGCAGATAGAATCATCCGAACACGAGTCTGCTGTGAGCGTGGTTTTCTGAGGACCTTTGATATCTGTTCAGTAAACTCCATTTCAGGAAGTGGATGCAGGCAGGTACAGGCAGGTCAGGAGAAAGGGCTCTTGGGGCTCAGGGCAGAGCAAGGGACTGTCTGAACTAGCTTTGGGCTGCCAGTGCTCCCTGGCCATTGACAGCGTGCCTGAGGACCACAGATGTTTCTAGGGTAACCCGTTACTTTCTGCCTTGATTTAAACTAAGCTGCCCCACTCCCTTTTGATTCAACTGGTAGTTGGGGCAACATTAGGCCAGGCTGCCTGAAATCAGAGCAGGTTGGAGGAGCAGGAATGTCCTTGAGACGAGATCCCAGCTGGTCTTCTCCTCTTCCTGACTCCCAATAAGCACAAGATGGGGAGAGATAGCATTCCAATCCCTCCTACAATGAGGTGAGATGCCGGGTGCCATCTGCTTGTGGGTGAGCCTTAGATCTACTGTTCTTCAGAGCCCTGGCTTCCAGCCCTAAGCACTGTCATGTGCTGGACCAACTCTAGCCTGCTTACTAGGACTCTTTCCTGGATCCTCTTTCCTTTTCAATCTAATTTTACTTAAACAGGAAACTCTTAATGACTACTCAAATGGAAAACCAGCAACGCTTGCCATAAATAGAAGGCATCAGGCCAGGCGTCCTCCTTTGAGGCTCTGTTGCTGTGATAAACACTGACCAAAAGCAAAGTGGGGGAGGAAAGGGTTGATTTCAGCTTATTCTTCCCGGTAGGAGTCCATCACTGAGGGGAGTCAGTGAGGAAGCTGGAGCAGAAACCAGTAAGGAACCCTATCTACTAGCTCATTCCACTTAGCTTGATCAGCTAGCTTTCTTGTATAGGTCAGGCCTATCTCCTAGGCCCTGCCCGCAGGGGGCAGGGCCCTTCTTCACCAATTAGCAAGTAAGCCTCACAGACAGACCCACCTGCCAGTCTGATGGAGGCAGTCCTCAATGGCGACTCTCTCAGACAGTTCTGGGCTATGTCAAGTTGACAGCTGAAAATAACTAGGAGACCAGTCAGAGCCCATCCCAGTAGTCAGGAGGCTGAAGTGGGAGGATCTCAAGTTTGAGGTTAGCTGGGGCTGCATAGCGAGACCCTGTCTCAGAACAAAACACAATATTATTTGTATGTCAGTCGTGCCTCTTGGCACCTTCTAGACAGGTGTGAATCTTACTCTGTAGTAGGTTTCTGAACTTCCCTGCACCTCAGTTTCCATGTCTATAAAATGGGAGCAGAGTAACAACTACCCCTTAGAGCAACTGGCTAAGTTAGAGTTAATACACCCTGGTGTGCTGGGGAGGCCCTGTGGTCCTGGATACCTGGAAGCTGAGGCAAGAGGATGGAACCTAGAATACAGAGCCAGCACAGCAAGACTCCATTTCAGAGGAAGGAGGGGGGTAAAAATACTTAAAGTTTAAAAAAAATTCCCCGGGGGCTGGAGAGATGGCTCAGTGGTTAAGAGCACTGGCTGCTCTTGCAGAGGACCCAGGTTCAGTTCCCAGAAGCCACATAGAGGCTAACAACCATGTATAACTCCAGTTCCAGGAGAATCCAACACCCTCTTCTGAACTCTGTGGGCATTGTATGACACAGGTGCACTTACATACATGTAGGCAATGCACTCATTCACAAGAAAAATTAAAATCATTAAAAAAATTAAAGTTCAAATGAAAAAACAAGTGCTGGTCAGCTGTGGTGGTACATACCTATAACCCCAGCACTCTAGAGAGAGGCAGGAAGGGTGGGAATTCAAGGCCAAATTGGCTACATAGTAAGACCCAGTCTAAAAAAATGAAAGAAAAAAAAAAAGGAAAGGAACGGAGGGCCAGCAAGATGGCCCAGTGGGTAAAGGTACTTGCTGCCACGCCCAACAACCTGTTTGATCCCCAGAATCTATATCGTAGAAGAGAATCAACTCCCACAAGCTGTCCTGTGACCTCCAGATACACACCATTGTACACTCCCCCACTCCTCGCACAATAAATAAATAAATGTGATTTTTAAGAACTTGAGGGGGGGAGAGGAAGGGAAGAAAGGACAGAAGGGAGGGAGGGAGAGGAGGGAGTGCTAACCTGAGCGCACCCTGGTAAGTGCTTCGCAGGAAACAGTCTCCTAGCTATTTAGTTTTTTTGTTTATTTGTTTTGCTTTGTTTTATCTTGTTTTTTTTTTTGATACAGGGTCTTCCTAGCCCCCGCTGGCCTGGAACTTTCTTTATGGAACTTGCTTTATAGACCAGGCTGGCCTCCATCTCACAGAGATCCTCCTGCCTCTGCCTGTCCAGTGCTAAGATTAAAGGTGTGCACCACCGTGACGAGTTCTCTATTTTGATAATGTTATATTAGTCTTTCTATTTCTGGTATTATTAGCCTAGAAATCAGTACAGCATAAACCAGTGCCATTTGAGCTTGTCCTCTTCCAGCTGGTTGTTTCCCCTCTCAGCCAGGGATTTGGCAGTGGTTGAGGGCTGCCCAGGGCAAGGCAGGGGTGGAGCAGCATCCCCCAAGTAAGTCTTGTTGTGGATGGAGTGCCTCTGCTGCCTTGACCTGAGCTGAGCTGTGCTAAGGTCAGGCTAGAACCGTGATGCTGCATTTGGGATCCCTTCTCTTCCCCATACATTTCAGGGACTGCTGGGCAGTAGGTGAGGCCTCTACTCTTCCCCAGAGCCTGGGGGATCTGTCAGTCTAGCAAAGGGTCTGCTTCAGTTTTTAAACCTTTTGCCATTCCTGCTGGTCCTCTTCTAGGAGGGTTTAGGGTTTAGTGGAACAAAGGCCCAGAGTCTGAGGCCTCCTTTGTTCCCATTGTCTAACTATAAAATCTTTACTGGCTTTCCCGGGGTGGCTAGGAGCAGCCTCCCTGCCTCTGGGTACTTCATTTTACTAGGTGTAGAGGGCAACAAACCACCTCCCAGCATCCTCTGAGTCCCTGAGATGGAGCCATACCCACATGGCCTCCCTAGGGAGGACATGGTTCCTGGGAGGGGACGCAGGCTTCTTAGCAGTCCAGTGGGCAGCAGGTGACTTATGGGGACTCCTGGCATGGATGCAAATATGCTCTAAAGCAGCCTCCCTGGGTGGGAGAAACACCACCCAAACAGCGGTTACTTTGAAATTGGTCCGAGACCTTTCAAAAACCTGAGGCCTCAGCCCTCTGCCCTTCACTATGGGCTTGGAAGGCAGTGTCACTTCTACATGGGGAAACTGAGACTCAGAGAGGAGGAACAGCTAAGCCAGTCTGTATGAGGTCCCAGACCCCCAGATCACTGCTGTTTTTCATTCCGGGGAGCTGGGAGAGAGTTCTGGAGTGCCCAGGGTGAATTTCCTGCCCCAGGGCTGGGAGCTGGGGAGGTGGTTGTGCTGAGGACTATGGGTTGCATGGAGCTTGGCTGGGGACCCCAGGGGGAGGTAATGCCACCACTGCCCCTCCAAACATGGCCCTAAGACTTCTCACTCTGACTTTCCCCTCCTTCTTCTCCCTAGTGCCAGCCACAAAAGAACACCCAGAGGTGCAGGTGGAAGACACGGATGCTGACAGCCATCCCCTTATCCCAGAGGAGAAGTCCCTTTCACCCGAGCGGTCACCACCTTCACCTGCCAAATCTGACACCCTCACCGTCCCTGGTTCAGCCGCTGAGGCCCACAGGTCACCCTTGATGCTTTCCTTGGGCTTGCCAGCATTGTACCCCTAGCCCATTTGGCAGATGGGTAGACTGAGATCAGAGAAGGAAGCAGCAGGCCCAAAGTCACACAGCCGTAGGTATCAGGACTGGGCTAGACCCCTCTTCCGGTCTTCCTAATTCCCGGATGAGTTATCTTTAGAGAGGATCTCAGAGGAGGCCTGTCCCAAATGCTCTGAGCTGTGGGGCAGAAGGGCACTCTTGCAGTAAGTAATATAGAAGTGCACACTAAATGTGACAGCTTACTTCTGCCCCCTCTTTTATTTTGTTTTGTTTTACTTTTTGTCAGGATGTTTCTTACTAAAATGTACATATTATAAATTTCCAGGTTACCAGGTATTGCTTATTTTTACCCTCTTACTTTTTCCAGCACAAGTGCTGGCCAGAGCTCACATCCCTAGAGTCTCTTAGCAAATTTTAAATATATATGTATACATATATAATTTTTTAAATTACATTATTTATTTTGTGTGTGTGCTCATGTGGAGATCAGAGGACAACTTGCAAGAGTCTGTTCTCCCCTACCATGTGGGTTCCAGGGATTAAATCTGGGTCTTCAGGCTTATGGAAAATGCTTTGACCCACTGAGCCACCTCACAGGTCCTTAAATATATTTTTATTGCCTCTATTTGTGTGTGTGCACATGTGCATGTGTGTGCATGCAGGTGTGTGCTATGGCACACAGGTGTAGGTCAGAGGACCTTTCTGTAGTTTCTGGGGACTGAACTCAGATTGCACTGTAAGCACCTTTATCCACGGAACTACCTCATGCCCTACGCCCCAAAGTCTCCTTTTTGAACTCAGCTACTCCATTGTGTTTTCAGTCATGATTAAAGACCACAGCCAGGCCATCCTGTGTGCCCCAAGGTGATCATGAGATTGAGTTCAGAATACCTCACCTCAATCCTCGCAGCAGGGCAAAATCTGTAACCATGTTCTGTCTTAACACTCTTCTTTTTTCTTTTCTTCCCTTCCTTTTCCTTTATCCCCTTTCCTTGCTTCCTTTTCTTTTTTTAAGATAATATCTCACCATGTCACCCAGGCTGACTTTGATCTCATAGTCCTCCTGGCTCTGCCTCCTAAGTGCTAGGATTACACAGGTCATACCATCCTGGCCTTGACCTGTGGATCTTCAGACCTAATCACCACGGGCCAAGACACCACCGGCTCCAGATACAGCAGCCTGTGGCAGATGTGGCCTTACTGAGTGACAAAGGACCCCTTGGATAACTTAGGCTTTGTTCTTTAGATAGGGGCTCAAGAGTTTAGGAGGGAGGGGACTTGCCTAATGTTACACTGTGAACTGGATACTAGACTTCGTGGCCTGGTCTCATGGTTGAAGGTCTCGTGGTATAAGAGGATGGAGGGGAGACTTCAGACTGGAAATGCGAGGCAGAAGGACACATAGGTGGAGACCTAAGGAACGAGTACCTCCTTATTTTGCTGAGTAGATTAGAGTAGGAAGTGGAGGTGGCTTAGAGTTTAAGGACTGTGTCAGAGTTTAACTCAGGGCCAAACCCCAAGTTTTCTTGGTACTAAGTCAATGTTGTTCACTTTGTAGAACATTGAGAGATGTACAGACTGAGGTCTTCCAGAGTGGGCTCTCTCATTTCCTTTCAGCCTCCCTCCAGGCAAAGGGAGCTCCGGCACCCACCCACTCCCATTCACTGCCTCCTCCACCCAGGACCAGCTCTGGATGGTCTGCAGTCAGCCATCTGCTTCCCTCAGCCTGTGCTCTCTGAATGTCCCTTCATGTCTGGGTCTCTGCAGGAAGAAGCTGCCTTCTCAAGATGATGAGGCTGAAGAACTCAAGGCACTGTCCCCAGTGGAGTCCCTGGTGGTTGCCTGGTCAGACCCCACCACCCCACAGGAGGCTGAGTGAGTGGGGTCGCTCCTGGGCTCTCAGAGACCTCAGGGCTGGTTTGGGATGGGCAGATAAGGGGAGGAGTAGGGCTGCTTTTAGAACTCCACACAAGGTGGGCTTTGCCCAGAGCTTCAGCACAGTAGGCCAATCCTCCTGCCTAGGCCCCTCCTGGCTGGCCCAGGAGTCCTACAGACTTAGTCAGATGGGCTTGTTTGAGGCCAGCTGTGTCCAAGGCTCAGAGAGGGAGGCATATCCAGGCAGAGGTCCTCCTGCAAAGGATCCTAGCACTGAACCCCCAAAAAATCAATGTGTAGAAGAGGACCATGGGATCTGGAGTGGGTCCCCACCTAGGAGCCTACTGAAATGCAGAGTTCCAGGCTTTGTCCAGCTCTACTGGATCAAAGCTTCAGACAGTGGTCCTGGGAACGTGCATTTCAACAGCTCTCTGATAGTTCTGATGGCTGGTGTGTAAACGTGGCTGGATGCCATGGTGGTGGTGTTGGAACCTGAGTCTGTGGCATCTGTCCCCAGGACTGGATCACCATGAGGTGTTCTTCTGTAGGTTTTAGTAACCCTGGTTCATGATAAATGCCCAGGACACTGCCGTGTCACTGGCCTAGATGCCCCAACATGCTGTCCAATCATGCATGACCCCTGCATTGATTACTCTAGGGCAGGTCTGCCTTCTTCCTTCTAGTCTTTTCTACCCATAATTTTATTTTTATTTATTATTTATTATTGTACATGTATATGATGTGGGGGGCCATGCATGTGCCATTGGGTACCTGTGGAAGTCAGAGGACAAATTTGTGGAGTCAGTTCTCTCCTTCCACCCTTACGTGGGGTTCGGGATGAACTTAGGTCATCAGACTTGTGCTGCAAACACAGGCAGGCACCCACAGAGCCATCTTGACAGCCCTCTATCCAAAATTTTTTATGCTTGTACTTAACAGGACTGTAGAAAATTCAGAAAGATAAAGACTCAGAAATCCCCAAACCTCACATACCCTGTAGGTCCTTTTAGCACAGTAGAATTCCATTTTATGTAGCAGGGTAAGGATAATGTTAGGGTTTAATGTAAGAAAATATGGCAGGAATCAGGTACAGTAGTAAAAACTATCCTTGAGGGGCTGGAGAGATGGCTCAGCGGTTAAGAACACTGGTTATTCTTGCAGAAGACCCAGGTTGGAATCCCAGTACCCACATGGCAGCTAACAACTGTCTGTAACTCCAGTCCCAGGGGATCCGACAGCCTCTTCTGACCTCTGTGGGCTTTGCATGACACGGGTGTAGTTACCTACATGTAAGCAATACACAGATACACATAAAATAAAAATAATAAATAAAAATTTTTTAAAAACTACCCTTGGGATTATATAAGGAAGTCAACATGGAGACCCACATATTAGTTAGGTAGGCTAAGCTGCTGTAACAAGTAGACCCCAGTAATTCAATGGCTGAAGGGGCAAGATATCTCATATGCTATAGTCACAGCACTAGCTAGTTAGATGTTTCGGGTCAGCGGAAGGGTCTCCTCTATGCAGTCATTTGGGGACCCATGTGACAGTATCTCTACCACTTTCACATAGCTTCTAAGATCCTATGGTCATCACTAGAAAGAGAATTCCAGTCAGGTGGGGTGGCACAGGTCTATAATCCCAGTTACCCCAGATGACTCATGAGTTTGAGGTCAGCCTGGGCTTGAACTGTCTCTAAAAGCAATTACAAGTAGGCTGAAAAACTTTTCGCAACTTCCCACCTGAATCAGACAGCACAGGCCACTTCCTGAGAGCCTGCCGTCTGGCCTTATTCTAAAACGAGTTTTTATCCTAGAGTGGAGTGGGTCCAACACTGTCAGAAGGAAACTGGCTGAACTGACCACTGACCTCCCTCGGGCTCTGCTAGAAGGGGAGGCGTAGATGTTGCTCAGCTTGGGCCTGGGGTCCTGGGGCCCTTACCCACTCATTGCTCAGCTTTGGGCTGTATTCCCACAGTGGCCAGGACCGTGCAGCCTCCACAGCCAGTCAGAACAGTGCCATCATCAATGACCGGCTCCAGGAGCTGGTGAAGCTGTTCAAGGAGAGGACAGAGAAGGTGAAGGAAAAGCTCATTGACCCGGATGTCACCTCCGATGAGGAGAGTCCCAAGCCCTGTGAGTGGAGCTGGAAGTGGCCTCAGGCCAGGGTCGGGTGCACAAGGACATAGCAGGAGTCGGAGGGTGGCCCAAGCAAATGGTTGGGGTGCAAAGTTCAGACCCTCACACTCTGGATTTGAGGCCTGGGAAGGGAAGAAGGTCAAAGGTGAGCTTGGCCCTCCTCAGGCCCGTGGCTCATGGACTCTTCTGCCTTCTCCCATGGGTTGTGGGTAGTTTTACACTCAGGGATTCCACAGCCGTTCTGGAAGCAGATGGTGCCACCTAAATAGCTCTTTTCCATTAAAAAAAATGCATGTGTGTATTGAGACAGGGTCTCACACTATAGCCTAGGCTAGTCTAGAACTTACCAAGTAGCCCCTAGTTGGCCTGGGACTCACGGTAATTCCTCCCAAGTGCTGGACTTACAGTTGTGAACCACCATACCTAGCTAAGGAGTCAGCTGGACAAGGTAAAAAATGTTTGTGATCTACAGATTTGGGGAGGTGAGGTGGAAGGATCACAAGTTTGAGACCAGTCTGAACTATATGGTGAGGTCCTGTCAGAGAAAGAGAGAACATGTCCTCTTGTCAGGAAGATTTTCTAGGTCTTTCTGACGAGGGTCATGCATTGTAATTTGTGTGTCCATGATAGGTTTAGCAGAGCCTGATTTCACACTCCTAAACTAGAAGCAGCCACGTTGGGCCCATAAGAACAAAGGCCTTAGTCACTACACACAACAGCACAGACCCCTGGGGAGGCTGGGATCCTAGCCATTGACCTTAATAGAGATGGCTGGACTAAGAGTCCTCTGAGAAGTCTAAGGCAACATAACTCAGAGTCGGCTGGGTCCTTTAGCATTCTGAAGCAGGGGGTGGAAGCATGGGACACAAAATGCCCCTGTCTGTCAGAGGAGCAAGGAGTACACACACACACACACACACACACACACACACCAGTATGGGCACGGGCACAGGCATGAACACAGGGTTACTGAGCTGAAACGTGCTCCTAAGAAGCACCTCCATGCTGGAGGCTAAGAACACCTGTTCGGACTCCAGACTGCTGTTGAAGAGGGGCCACGGGGTTCACTCCAGGGGAGAGCATTAGCTTCTGTACCTAGAGTTCCTGGCAAGTTGTATGCTGAAGGGGTCCTTCAGTTCCAGTTCTGCAGGTGGGGCCGATTTCCCTACATCCTCTACCTGAGCTTCAGGGCTGGATCAGAGGGTCACTAATGTCATCCCACAGCACCAGCCAAGAAGGCCCCAGAGCCAGCTGCAGCCCAGAAGTCCACAGAGGCAGAGCCTGCAGAGGAGGAGCACTACTGTGACATGCTTTGCTGCAAGTTCAAGCGCAGGCCCTGGAGGATGTACCGGTTTCCCCAGAGCATTGACCCGCTGACCAGTGAGTCCCTTTGGGGAACCAGTCCCCCTCTCTCTGCTCCCTGTGCAATATGAGAGTGAGGTGGGGTATGATACCATGGGTGTCCACGGTGCATGACTCCTCCCACTTTGAAAGATGGTGTCACACTTCCTCACCTGCTTCTTCAACAATACAAGTCCTAAGGAAGGGAACATAGGCCACACCCATATTACTGATGAAGAAGCTGAGATACAGAGGCATGAACAAGCCTGGAGACACAGCCAGTTAGACTCCTGGCCTTGACCTTGGCCAAGTCTTCTTTCCACTTTGGCCATGTGGGTGCCTCCCTGAGCCCCTGCTCTGAATAGGGACAGGGAGGAGTTTATCATTGTCTAAAGTGAATTGCCTTCACTTTCCTTTAAGCCCAACCGGTAGTCAAGAGGAGCACCCTTCACAGGTGCACTGCACTTCACAGTGCACAGGGAAGTGCCTTGCCCTCTTAGTTGGCAATTTCCTGTGACTTCCAGAAAACAGTAGGGCCATACGGGGACTTCCTCAAAGTTAAACAGAAAGTCACTCAGGGGAGGCAGGACCCTAACCGTGGCGTCCACTGGGTTTCTAAGACACCAGGTGACCTACAGTCTGTCCATGTATCTGCCCATCTACCTGTCTGTCCATCCACCTGCCCATCCCCCACTCATCATTCATTTCCTGCTCTGGATTTCCTAAGGCAGGAAGTCATTGTTAGAAAATTTCAAAAAGAAGTAAAGTTGGGGCTGAAGAGATGGCTCAGTGGTTAAGAGCACTGGCTGCTCTTGTAGAGGACCTCGGTTGGTTGGGTTCCCAGCACCCACACGGCTGCTAACAACTGTCTGTAACTCCAATTCCAGGGGATCCAATGCCCTTTTCTGGCCTCTGAGGACATTGCATACACAATACATGCAAACAGAACACTCATGCACATAAAATAAAAATAATTTAAAAAATTTTTAAGGGGGCTGGAGAGATAGTGCAGCGGTTAAGGACACTTTTCTTGCAGAAGACTGGGGTTCGAATCCCAGCACCCACATGGCAACAACTGTCCATAACTCCAGTTCCAGGGGATCCGACAGTCTCTTCTGTCCTCCGCAGGCATTGCATGACAGGGGTGCACTTACCTACCCGCAGGCAATACATGCATACACATAAAATAAAAAAATAACAAATAAAATATTTAAAAAAATTTTTTAAAAAGAAAGCACAAAGTTTTTTTTCAGTTTGCTGCTATCTAATGTCATCATGTCCCATCCTCAGAGAGCTCTAATCTATAAGGGCCTATCAGTGACCTCCATGTCTATCCATCCATTCATTCATCCACCACCTGCTTGTCCATCTTCCACATAACAAAAGTCACAGCCAGTTGCACAGGAAAAGAACCCTATTCCCCATGGACCTTCTGTTCCATTCCTGTCCCTCCCCTCAGACCTCATGTACATTCTGTGGCTCTTCTTCGTGGTTCTGGCCTGGAACTGGAACTGCTGGCTGATTCCCGTGCGCTGGGCCTTCCCCTACCAGAGACCAGACAACATCTACTTCTGGCTGCTGATGGATTACCTGTGTGACTTCATCTACCTCCTGGACATCACTGTGTTCCAGATGCGCCTGCAGTTTGTCAAAGGCGGGGACATCATTGTGAGTCACAAGCAGGTGGAGGGGGTGACTGGGGCAAACCCCACAGCCAGGGGCCTTCAGGGGACTGCCCCTTGATGCTGTGACAGGTGACAAAATGACTGAACAAGGAAATGTAGGAGCATCTGTCCACATGTTTTGCACACCTTGGGTGTGTTCAAATTATTCAATCAGATATTGTTCATAGGTGAACTGGTTCCTGGACCATCGGAGAGAGTTAAAGATGGAGAAATAGTCCAGAGAACGGCCTCTGGGGCAGGTGAATCTGCTTCAAACTCTAGCTAACTCGCCTGTCTGAGCTTTAGTGTCCTCAGTAAATGGCTGGTAGCAGCTCCCCATTCAACAGCCGCTGCTGTGAGGACTCTTGATAGGATGTCTGCAGCCTGCTCAGCTCAGGGAACTGCTAGCAGCCAACATATCCTGGGGCCCCTGCAAAGGGCATGCTGATACCCCTCTATTCAGAACAGTCTGAGACCCTGTGTTCTGAGCCAGCCCCTTATCAAGGAGAAAACCAAGGCCTTGGCAAATGGCCCCAGTGTGGTGGTTCAGGCCTGTAATCCCAGCACTCAGGCAGAGGGTTCTGAATTTGAAACTAGACTAGGCTGGAGAGATGGCTCTGTGGTTAAGAGCACTGGCTGCTCTTCCAAAAACCCTGGGTGTAGTTCCTAGCATCCACATGGCAACTAACAACCATCTTTAACTCCAGTTCCAGGGGATCCAACACCCTTTTCCTGCCTCCGTGGGCATTGCATAGCACTGGCGCACTACATACATGCAGGCAAAATACTCATAAAATAAAAATGCACCAATCAAAACGGACAAGGAAGGAAAAGGTAGGCGGAAGAGAAGCAGGCACCCCAGTTTCCACTGCTGTGTGTAAGTCACTTTCTGAAATTCCACACCAAGGCTGGCTCAGTGAGTGCAGTGCTTGCCCAGCATGTGTGAAGCCCTGGGTTCCATCTTCACTACAAAGTAAAACAAAACAAACACTACTGTTAAGGTAGAAGTTTTCCTTTGAAATAACTTCTTAGTCTTTATTTTTCTTTTGAATTAGAGGTGGTTTGACAGGTAACACCAACTTGCTGTTCATATTAATGGAGGAAGTCAGGTCATTAATATTAAGAAAGTGCTGATAATAGAGTGGAAAATATTAGTGAAAAGTTCCAGCTATTTTCATTATACTGATGAAGAATCAAGAGAGAGCTGGAGAAATGGTTCAGTGGTTAAGGGTGCTTACTGCTCTTGTAGAGGACTGGAATTCAGTTCCCAGCATGCTGGGTAGCTCACAACCATCTATCTCCAGTTCCAGGGGATCTGGTGCCCTCTTCTGACCTCCTCAGGCATTGCATGACACGGGTACACCTACCTGCATGAAGGCAATACACTCATACACATAAAATAAAAATAATAAAATACTAAAAATAAATCTCTCTATTTTAAACATTTGCTTACAAGTCTTGAGAATTTGGATGGTATAAGTTCTAATTTTTAAAAAATTTTATTTATTATTTTTATTTTATGTATACGAGTATATTGACTGCATGTATGTGAGTGCACCTGTGTCATGCAATGCTGTGGAGGTCAAAAGAGGGCTTCAGATTCCCCTGGAACTGGAGTTAAGGACGGTTTGTAGCCGCCATGTGGGTGCTGGGAATCAAACCCGGGTCCTCTGCAAGAGCAGTCAGTGCTCTTAACCGCCGAGCCATCTCTCCAGCCCCTAAAAATAAATCTCTTAAAAAGAAGAATCAATTGTGTTATAAGGATAAATTATTAAGCTGTGGGAGGTAGAATTAATTCAGATGGTTGAGGTTTTTGAGTGCCAGGTTAGTAAAATAGTAGGTAAGATCATTTGAACACCGTAGAAGTTAGGATTTGGGGCATTGTACCACATGGGCTAGATAACATAACAAGTAATATTAGACCAATACTAGCTGTCTCACAAGCTGAAACACTAGAATAATTACAGGACTAGGAATAAGTATAAATGTGTGCTTAAGATGCTTAAGGGTCCTGTGATAACCCTAGACAGCATTATGTCCACCAGACATATAAGTTCTGATAGCAGGTAAGAAGTCTCCAGATTCCAGCTACTTAGCAAATAAAATGGCTCCTGGTCCAGGAAAGAGTCTCACACTCTGAAAATAGGTTCTAAGCCCTCACTTTCCATCCATCAGAGCCTGGCTGGTGACCCCAGCAAGGCTGTTCCCATGGCCAACCTATAACCATCCTATAACCACGAGGCTGTCCCTGAAGTGTGCACATACCTGTGGGCAGCTACTCCAATGGAAAGCAGGATCTTCCAGGATGCTGCCTGCCCCATAAGGTCTGGGCTCTAACACTGTTCCTCTGTCAATGTTCCTTTTTCTTCCAGACCAACAAAAAGGAGATGCGCAATAACTACCTAAAGTCTCGCCGGTTCAAGGTGTGCACAGGGGAATGAGGGATTGCCACCTCATTGCCACTTGGTCTCAGAGTGCCTGGGTACTTTGGGGGCTGGTGCCTTGTGGTTTCTGCCACATAAAGGGAGATTGGTCCCATCTCCCATGGGAGTGTCTTCCAGGCCACAAACCTCCTGAGACAGCATAGGCTGGGTGGCCCTCAGAGGCCACCTGTCCGTCTTTATGTATTCTCAGTTTCTGCTAGGTGGCAGCTTATGCTGGTAACAAAACTGCCCTGGCAGTGGGCGCCATGGGCTTTAAAGCCGTGTTGGAGTGTGTTGGTGAGAAGCCTTGTGCCCTCTCACCTGAGGCTGCCTGAGCATTCGGACCCCTCTCCCTGGCGTGTAGAGATCTGCTCCTAGCCCTTGCCTCAGGTTCTGTATCTTATACCCTCCCTGTGCTGCCCACTGGAATTTCAGATGGATCTGCTTTGCCTCATGCCCTTGGACTTTCTCTACCTGAAACTCGGTGTGAATCCCCTCCTTCGCCTGCCCCGCTGTTTGAAGGTAAGACTGGCAGGTCCCCCAAGGCCTTCGGCATCCCCAGGCTTGGCATGAGCACTGGCACCTTAGGAAGGGGGTGTCCCCAAGATGAGGCTTTGGGGAAAAGTATACTTTTCATGCATATCTTTTAAGAAGCTTGTAACAATTGCTGGTAATCTGAGGACACTGCCTGTTAGTTCTTGATCCAGGGGCTTAACTAATGCTGGTTCCTCAACCCCATGACATGAATGCTGTTCCTACCATCTTACAGATGAGGAAAGGGGCACAGTGAGGCTAAGGTCACAAAGCTATATGTAGTCTGGATTTGAACACAGACAATCTATCTCCTCCATCCATGTAGTAATTACAGAGCATTTCAAGGGAGGGAGGGGCCTCCATCCAAAAGGGAAATTGGCCCTGAGAGTAGCTGGGTAACTTGCCTACCCAAGGTCACAGGGGTGAGAGTGTGCCAAGGGCAGGTTTGAATGCATAGCCTATCACCAATTTCATCATTGCTCGGTGCTCAGTGTCATTCCAGTTTGTTCTGCCACTCACTGGGCAGAGCCAGGGTCCTAGGAGGGTCTGTCTGATGCAGGGTGGAGACCTGATAGATGCCCTTGAATGTGATGGGGTAGACAGATGCTCAGAGTTCTTAGAATCCCCTGAATGAATTCTGGCCAATCAATTAAATTTACTCCCCTTTGACAGGGAGAGCCTGTCTCAAAAACCTCAAAAAATTAAAATTAAAAAAATTAAATTTATTCCCTCCTACATGAATGATGGCCTTTTCCAAAAACATTAAATTGGGGAAAATTACTAAAAATAGGGAGGGGGTAAACATGATAATATTAGTAAACAGAAGAAAGAGGACAGAGAAGACTAGGAGGACACGTACCCAGTGAAAAGAAAGCAAACCCACCTGGAATTGAGCACAAAAGCTGTCCTGAGCTTCCTGGATGCCAAGAGAAAAGGGAAATTGTGAGTGGCACTGTCTTCTCTGACCCAGTCTCCTGAGGGTTGCACGGGTTGCTTTAGAGCCAAACAACAGCATGAGTTGTCCACAGGCCACAATTTATTCTGAATTCGGAAGTGAGATCCATACTTTGGTTCACACTGTGGCCTTGAGGAGTGTACGGAATCTATGGGCCTGATTTTTAGCAGGACTCAGAGGGAGCATCTCTTTGACTTTAAGATGATGGATACAAAGACTTGCTCTTTTGTATCCAACCTAAACTCAAAATGGAAATTGGAACAAACAGCTGACTGCCGCACATCCCTTAACGACCTTACACAGGTTTTATTTTGAAGTATTGGAAACTTAATGGAGAAAAAGATCTAGAGGGGTGCAGATAAAAGAGGAGCTGGCAGCTTAGGGTCTGGTCTGGGTTCAAATGTCAGCTCTATGCTTTCCAGCATGGGTTTTGGACAAACTGCTGGACTTCCCTTAGTGTCACTCTCCTGTCAGAGGAGAGTGACAGAGCTGGGGGCAGGGGAGGGTATAGTAGTAGAGAACTTGCCTAGCATGCACAGGCTGGGGCATGCTCTGAAGCCCCCCACAAAGAGTGATGTTAATGCACACTTCCTATAAGGTACCAGCCACAGAATAGGAACTAGCAAGGAAGAGCAGTTATAGCCAGGCTTGGTGATACACACCTATAGTCCTAACACTCTGGAAGTGGAGGCAGGAAGATCGCAAGTTTGAGGTCAGCCAGTCTCTGCAAAGCAAGAACTTATCTCAAACAAATAAGAGTAGTTACTATTAGACTTTTATTACTATAGTTAAGCCTTTGAAAGGTCCAAGGGAGGGTTAGGAATGTGGTTTCTTTATGAAATTGTTGTCTATCTAAGGAAACATTCACAAGGGGCCCCCTAGCCCAGATGCATGCACCCCTATGAGCTGCGTGGTAACATTCAGAAAGTCTGCAAGTCACCAGATGTTCTGTGCAAACTGAAATATCCAGAGGAAGATGGGTCAGGGCTGTCATCAGATTCCCAAATGGAGTTCCTGAACCTCCTGTGCTACAGAGTGCTGTTCTCTCCTCAGGGGGAAAGGCCTCGGGTCTGGTACCCATCAGGTAGGGTGGGAGGCAAAGGCATTGCGCCATGTCCTTGGTAGACAGAGGGTCGCCCCTGATACCTTCCTCTCTCTCTCTCCCAGTACATGGCCTTCTTTGAGTTTAACAACCGCCTGGAAGCTATCCTTAGCAAAGCCTATGTTTACAGGTGAGAGTCACCATACCTACACATGTATGCATAATACATGGGTGCACACACACACACACCTCTTTCCAGCTCCCCCACCCCCAGACTCCATGGCCACGGGAAGCCAAGCCTCTTCCTGGCCCAAACTCTTCTCTGAAAGGATGTTTGTTTTTCAGAGAACAGGAATGTCTTATTTCCCCCCATTGTGACAAGGGCACTCATAGGTTGACACAAGTAACAAGCCAGCATTTTGATGTCAGCATGCAGAGCTGAAGTCCCCACTGTCGCTCTAATTCAAGGGGACCATTTGCAAAAACACAGTGGGTGCCTCCCAGACACCCAAGGTGGGGCACAGGACTGATCAGGCTGGTTTGGGGAACAAGTCTCCTTGTACTTAGCTCATGGGGCACACAGCTCACTGCCACTTCTCTGCATGCACCTGCCCCCTTCCTGTTCCTCAGGCCCCTTGACTTCCTCAGCATCCATTTGCATAGGTCATTCTGCCAGTGCTGGGCCCATTCCTGCCCTGAGTCTTGGAAAGGCTCCAATCAAGTGCCCTGGGTTCATTTCCCAACACCTTAAGGAAAAAAAAAAAAAAAGCTGCGTTGATTCAATGGTGTGTCATGCAATTAACTGAATTAATTGCGCCTTAGAATCAAAGAACTATAGCAGAGGACAGTGTGACTGATCATTCACTGCTTGGGTGGCTGGGCAGGGCCATGTGGCTCCTGCAGGCGAACCTGTGAGGAGGGCTTGGGGGAGCTAAAGTCTAGCAGCCTTGTCTCTGGGGCGAGGCATCACCCCCATGGTGGTCACACTCCCCTCCCTCTGCAGAGTCATCAGGACCACTGCCTACCTGCTGTATAGCTTGCACCTAAACTCCTGTCTTTACTACTGGGCATCGGCCTTCCAGGGCATCGGCTCCACTCACTGGGTTTATGACGGCGTGGGGAACAGGTGAGCCTGGCTTCCTCCTGGGCACTGCCTGGGTGGTATTCTTGCTTTGTATAATTCACAGGAAAAAGAGCTCCTGGAAAGGTGTCTTTTGATGGCCATGTTGCCAAGGCAACCTTGTTCCTAAGGAGTGACTGACATCCAAAGTTCTAGGGCCAAGCTCTCCTTCCCTGTCTCCGTAAACGAAGGTTTCCTGAGTTTTGCTGCATGCCAGGCAGAGGGTCCAGGCATGATGAGACCTGCTAGGAAGAGCTTCTCAACATCCCCAAGTCTAGAAGGGCTGGCAAACTCACCACAGAACTTATCGTAAGGAAACAAGTATTCAGGGCAGAGGACAAGGACTCAAAGATGTTCCCTATGATATCATGAGTCACATAGGAAAGCTGGAAATGCCCTTCAGGATCAGTGGAAAGAAGATGGTTGTCAGAAACAGCACTGCTGCAGACACCTGTTCAACACTGTGTTGTCTTACTTATAAATAGGATGACCTATTTTTTCAGATCTTAGCATTTCTAAATTTGAGATGTATCTTATAATCCTTGTGTATTTGATGTAACATTTATTTTGTAGAAAAAGCTGAACCAGGGCTGGGGATGTAGCTCAGTGGTAGAGCACCTGCCTAGCATTCACAAGGTCATGCGTTCAATCCCTAGCACCTCAAACAAAACAAAACAAAAGCTGAATTGACTCACTGACGTGCCAAGCAATTAGCTGCTTTTTAGAATCAAATAACAGGGGAAAGGATGTTCCTGAGCTTTCTTCTATAGTCAGCAAAAATTACACATGACATTATGCACACACACACACACACACACACACACACACACACACACAAGAATAGCAAAAAGCAATCCTCAGTTGCATTCCCATTGCCTAAAGCAAAGTTACCCAATAACAATATGATGTGACTTGTATACACAACTCAAATTTTTCTAAGAGCCACATTTTTAAATATAAAGAGAGACAGATGAAGGGTTGGAAAGATGGCTCAGTGGTTAAGAGCACTGACTGCTCTTGCAGAGGACAGAGTCAGTTCCCAGCACCCACATGGTGACTAACAACCATCCATAACTCTAGTTCTAAGGGGTCTGATGCCCTCTTCTAGTCTCTGTGGGCATTGCATGACATGGATGCACTTACATACATGTTTGCAAAACACATAAACACACACACACTCTTAGCTAATCAATTTTAAAAAGAGCAAGAAGCTGGGCATGGTGGCACATACCTTTAGTTCTAGCACTCAGGCAGGCAGATGTCTGTGAGATCGAGGTTAGCCTGCTCTACATAGTGAGTTCCAAGCGAGAGAGAGAGAGAGAGAGAGAGAGAGAGAGAGAGAGAGAGAATTACAGTTAATTTCAGTAATATATTTGGTTAACCCCAAATACCAAAAATATCACTTCTACCTGTAGTCACTGTGATAAACACGAGTAATGAGTAATAGTTAAAAATAGGCAATGGGGGGTTGGAGAGATGGCTCAGTGGTTAAGAGCACTGGCTTAGCTCTTGCAGAGGACCAAAGTTTGGTTCCCAGCAGCCCCATGGTGCCTAACAACTGTCTTGACTCCAGTTCAAGGGATCTAACACCCTCTTCTGGTCTCTGTGGGTATTGCATAACATGGGTGCACTTAAACATGCAAGCAAAACACACACATAAAATAAAAATAAAAGAGTTGGGCGTTGTGGTACACACCTTTAATCCCAGCACTTGGGAGGCAGGGGCAGGTAGATCTCTGTAACTTTGAGGACAGCCTGGTCTACATAGCCAATTCTAGGCCAGCTGGGGCTACAGGTAGACCCTATCTCAAAAAGACAAAGTAGGGCTGGAGAGATGGCTCAGTGGTTAAGAGCATTGACTGCTCTCGCAGAGGACCGGGGTTTGATTCCCAGCACCCACATGGTGGCTAGGAACCGTCCTTAACTCCAGTTCCAGGGGAATCTGAAGCCCTCTTCTGACCTCCGTGGCATTGCACAACATGGGTGCGCCTACATACATGCAGGCAATACACTTGTACACATAAAATAAAAATAATAAAAAATTTTAAAAAAGACAAAGTAATAAAAGTAAAAAAATGAAAAATAAAGAATAGACGATGGCGTGCTTCCTTGTCTTCTAAATCTTGTGTGCATTTCACACCCACATCGTTTTACATGAATCTCCGTCCTCTGTCCTGATTGCATCCTTATAATAAATTTTTAATTTTTTCAGTACCAAGGGCTTCCTGCATGCTAAGGCAAATGCTCTACCACTGAGCTATATCTTCATCCCTTTACAAAAAGGCAACTCTTCTTTGAGAAGCTACGAGCATGCTTGTGAGTGTATCTTGTCTTTCTCATGAGGCCCCTTTTTCTTGTAACCCTCATGCTTGAGGTTTATATTAAAATATTTTATTGGGGCTGGAGAGATGGCTCAGTGGTTAAGAACACTGGTTGTTCTTGCAGAAGACCTGGGTTCAGATCCCAGCACCCACATGGCCGCTAACAACTGTCCGTAACTCCAGTTCCAGGGATCTGACAGCTTCTTCTGTCCTCCACGGGCATTGACGACACAGGTGCACTTACCAACATGCAGGCAATACACGTATACACAGAAAAAAATAAATAAAATATTTTTAAAAATAATAAAATAAAATAGAATATTTTATTAGGGTGGGCAAGATGACTCATTGGATAAAGGTGCTTGCTGCCAAGGCATGTGAACCTTAGTTCAATCTCTGAGACCTACATGATCGAGAGAGACTTTACTCTCACAAGTTGTCCCTTCTCACACATGTGCCCACATACATACACACAGTAAGTCTAATTCTAAAAATTAAAAAACCTTAATAAACCCTAACTCCACTTAAAAAAATAAGTGAAATAAAAGTTGTAAAGACAGGTCTCCGTGAGTTACTCAGGCTGTGGCCTTGAACTCAGTCTGTAGCCCAAGTAGGCCTGAAACTTTCCATCTACCTCAGCCTCCTGAGTGCTAGGATACTATTCAGGACTCTTGTGAGGAATGAAAATCAGTGAATATGAGGTGTCCAGCCAATGCCTGGATGCTGGGCCAATGCTGGCCTCCAGCTGTGAAACCCCGCATGCTGGGAAAGGAGTTCATAACCCGAGTGCCAGAGATCTTAATATTCCTAGGCCTGGAAATGGAAGTTAAATTTTGAAACTATGTCGGTTGTTAGAAGTAATTTCTGCCTTTCCTTCAATTCTCAAAGGAGTCTGTGCCCGTGATCTAAGAAACTCCTTGCCTGTGGCAGCTGGGGCTGGCAGCCATGGAAGGGAGGTGCAGGAAGGGGGCAGGGCAGCTCTCTGGGACCTTCTTGGGGACCCAGGGCACTCTAGCTGTCCGTTATAGGAAGGGCACCCTTTCTTTTCTGATATATGAAGGAAGTACAACAGAGTGAAAAAAATTCCTTCAGAAGTCCAATAGCACAAACAATAACTTAAAAAATAACTGCCAGTCCCTGGGGGTATGCTGTGTGCTCTGGGTTTGGGGAAACCAGTTCCTGCCTATGGCTGTCCACTGTGCTCTGCCAGCATGCAGCACCAAAGGAGGGACCCGCTCTCGGGGGTCCTAAAGATTCCTCCAACTAGAAGCACTTAGAGGAAAGCCAGGGTTTGGGGGACACCGCTTCTATGCTTTCTTGCTGTTCACTCGAGCTCATGCCACAGACAGGTGGGCTGGAGCCTGGGCTGTGGGGTGGGGTCCTGCTCAGTTCTGCTGAAACTCTGTGCCCTCTGGTGGCCAGGATATGATGAGAATTGGCAGGGCAGGCTGGTTGTCTGTTGTCCTGAGACTTCCAGGAAACAGGTGACAAAGAGCCCTGCCCAAAACCTTGAAGCTAGTCTGAAGCGGAAACCCCCACCCCAGTCAGCAGCCTCTGCTTTCAGCAGCACTTGGCCCATGTAATGTGCCTGTCCTCACTAGAAAGAAAGTGTCTGGAAGACACAGGCCAGTCTCCTCTGTTCCCCACTCCAGGCACAGGCAGTGTGAAGTGTGAGAAGGTCTTGACCACTGACTTAGACAGGGCCTGGAAGCTCTCATTTCATCCTCATAGTCTCCTGTAAAGGAAGGTCCCCTGCCATGCCCATTTTATGGAGGAAGAGACTGAAGTTTAGAGAGAGTGAGAATGGGTCCAAGCTAGAAAGTAGTGTGGACCCCAGACAGTTTGGCTCCAGGCCTGTGTTCTGTTATCATACTACATAAACAGCTGGTCAATGGAGGCATGAAGGCCCAGGAAAGCTGGCCAGAGTGCTAGGTTCTGTTGGACTCTCCTTTGCTGATGCCCAGGAAGTCTTAGCCTGGAGCTGTGGCCAGGTGTACCAGGCCTGGTGCTTTGTGACAAGTAGACAATGGCAGGGCACTTCCTGTGCCTTTTCCCATACAGCTGGACCCCACCACCTGTACCTTCTGTTGCAGGGACCATGAGTGTGTCAGGGCTGCCCCATAGAGCAAGACAGCTCAGAGGAGCAGCCCACACCCTGGGCTCTCATCTCAGCTCTGGAATGTGCCAGCGGGACACATGAGTCCTTCTTTACCCTTTTGTGAACTTCAGTTTCCTAAAGTATTTTGAAAAGGGTGGAAAAGGGAAGCGTCAGAAAGGGTAGAGTTGTACTATCGCTAGAATATTATAATGCCTCATGCAGCACAGGCGTAGGGATATACTCACTGCACTGCTAATTTGGGGAATAATAACAAGAAAAAATCTTATATATTTAGTACAGACACACTTATTTTTAAACACGTGTGTGTGTGTGTGTGTGTGTGTGTGTGTGTGTGTGTTTTAGAGGAGATTGAACCCAGCTAGACAGATTTTTCCTCCAAATGTTTGGAAATTGAGGGAGCCCAGTTATCAGGGTCAGTTTGTCTTCCTGAGAATCCCTCCTTGCTGTCTCCTGGAACCTCAGTTTCCACATTTATGCCTGGAGATGACATTACATCCTCACAAGGCTGGGGCAGAGCCACGACCATGCCAGATAGCATTTGAGACCCAGCTCTGCAGACTGTGGTACTGGGGGTGGGGGAAATTTTCTTTCATCTATGGCTTTAAGGGAGTCCCTATGCATTCCTGAATCGGGACCCCAAGGTTCAGCTGGGCGGTTTCTGGGGTGACCAAAGTCACTTTTCTTGCCTTTTACTAGTTACATTCGATGCTACTACTGGGCCGTGAAGACCCTCATCACCATCGGAGGCCTGCCTGACCCCCAGACACTTTTTGAAATTGTCTTCCAGCTGTTGAACTACTTTACAGGTGTCTTCGCTTTCTCAGTGATGATTGGACAGGTAGCTGGGATCACCCACCCACCTACCTGTAACCCCCTCCATTCCGAACTAGAAACAGTCCTGCATGCTGTGACTTTAGGACCTCCCCATGAGCCTAGGAAAGACTCAGGTTAAGCCAGGAGCCCACAGTGCTTGTGAAGAGACGATGTCTGAATCTCATGACTGTCTGAGGTCTTCCTGTTAGAATGTCAGTCTGTTTGGAGAGCAAGGGGGCCAGGAGGCAAGGCTTTCTTGAAGGCTTGGGAACTTGGGCTGTGCCCTGTGAGAGAAGCTTTGGAGTCTCTGATGCAATGGGAAGCTTATGTTCTGGTCAGGGCATGAGGAGGGAGGTGGTACTCTCAAAGCAAGCTTGGAAGGGCCTCAGCCTGAGGAACAGTAAGCTAAGATCAGAGTTTCTCCTTTGGTAGAGTGGCTGTATACAGAATCAGCCTAGTTCAATGAGGCATCCCACTGCATGGTCCCAGGGATCTGAGACCACCAGAGAGGCTAGCAGCCTCCTCCGCCAGTTGAACCTCCTCTGTCTGTGGCTGTCTGTTCTCCTCTCTTGGATCTTTCCATGAGTACAAGTCCCTGGTCTGTGTAAGGTGATCTATCACAAACCTTTATCCTATGGCCTCAGGCCCAGCGCTTCCTTGACCTCCCCTCACTATCATCTTGCTCCAGATGAGAGATGTGGTGGGGGCCGCCACAGCGGGGCAAACTTACTACCGCAGCTGCATGGACAGCACTGTGAAGTACATGAACTTCTACAAGATCCCCAGGTCTGTGCAGAACCGTGTCAAGACCTGGTACGAGTATACCTGGCATTCGCAAGGCATGTTGGGTAAGACTGGCCAAGCCCAGCAGCCTCTAGCTTCCCCCAGCCAACCTTCACCTCATTCCCAGATTTTCCAGCTTTTCCCTTGTCCTTTATGTCTCTGAGGGGGTCTCTCTTGGCTATGACTCCAGCATCAGTGTGAGAGGAACCTCTCAAGGTGAGGGGCCTGTCCTCTGGGCAGTTACCTTGCCTCCCTTAACTTGAGATGCAGCCCCATCCAAGATGGAATCATAATTTAAGCCAAGGAAAAGGCCAGGCATGGCATCTCAAGCCTGGGATTCCAGTGCTAGAAAGGACTACTTCAAGTTGGAGGCCAGGTTGGCTACATAGCCAGACCTAGCCTCAAAACAAGCAAACAAAAAACAAAGATGGGGGATGCGAGTGCTCAACATAAGGAAAACTAGTACAGAAGCCAGGTAGAGACATTCGAGACAGGCTTCCTGGAGTAAGTGACATTAGAGTTTTGACGGATGAGTAGGAGTTTGGAAAGAGCAGGAGGGGAGTGTGTTCCTGTCAGAGGGATCAGTGTTGGCAAAGTCCAGAGGGACAGCAACTGCTGTCAGGATCTGGAGGGGCCTCCCTGTGGCAAAGGAGGCTAAGTTGGCCGAGCCAGTGCAGAGCCTCACATGATGCTCATGGGTGTGTGAGGGGGAGACCTAACCTGGCTCTGATCCCCCCGCTGCTGGGTCTCCTTCACAGATGAGTCAGAGCTGATGGTGCAGCTTCCAGACAAGATGCGGCTGGACCTGGCCATCGATGTGAACTATGACATTGTCAGCAAAGTGGCGCTCTTCCAGGTACCCTGCAGGTGCACGGGGGTGGGGTCTGGGCCCCAAGTCCCTGCCTTCCCTTAAGCAGGTTTCTCCCCCTTGTCCTGCAGGGCTGTGATCGGCAAATGATCTTTGACATGCTCAAGCGGCTTCGTTCAGTCGTTTACCTGCCCAACGACTACGTGTGCAAGAAGGTGAGCTGCATGGAGAAGGAGAAGGAAGCCTGGGGGTCCTGTGAGGGTGTCTGCCACCCTGGGAGCAGCAGTCCTGCTGGGGAGAAAGGGTAGGGAACGACTGCAGTGCAAGGCTGCCTGACCCAAAGCACCTACTGCAGATGTGGCTCAGAGAGGCACTTCCACGGCTGTCTCTATCCAGAAGAGCCATACAGAAAAGGGATCAAGGGACCCTGAGCCACAGAACACAATCTCAGTCTTCCCATCAGGAAAGTGAGTGAAGGAATAGGCCAGGACAATGACCTCACCTGGTGACCCATGGATATTTTGCAAACCTGAGTTGTTTAATGAAGTTATTTTTAAGTTGAATTAATGCCTAATCTTTAAAGCTTGGAAGATTTCATGTCAAAATCAAAATGTCTGACTGAAAACAGAACATTGGTTAGCACTGGGCCACACTTTCTCCAATGGGAAGAGCCAATGTCAGGGGATTTAGGGACTGTCCCTAAAGGGATGTCCTGATACCACAGACCCACCCACACCAGGTTCCCTTTACTGCTTTGCATCACCCAGGAAATGTGCACAACTGAACCTGGGCCTATACAGGCCTAGAGAGCCCTTTCTGCTCCGTATCTCGGGGGACCAAGGTGACACCAACATCAACCAGGGAAGGGAGGGGATGGGCAGGTTTCTGTTTTTTTGTACAGAACTATAATTCTAGATGTGTGTATCGGGTGAAGATGTTGTAAGACTTAGGAGCCCTTAGCCCCTGTCAAGTGTGTCCAACCTTTTGACATTCTAATATAACATTGTTATCAACAAAGTTCACAAAATAATCTCATAATGTTTCAAGTAAATTTATGATTTTCTAAAAACATTTATCACATGTGTGGGTATGTACTCCATGGCCTTTTTGTGGAGGTAGAAGACAACTTGCAGGAGTCAGTTCTGTCTGTCCACCATGTGGGTTCTGGGAATCAAACTCAGGTTGTCAGACTTGGTGGCAAATGCCTTTACCCACTGCACCATCTCACTAGTCCACTGACAGTTGTGTTGGCCCATATTCATAGCTATTGTCAGCCGAATGTGGCCTGTGGGCCACAGATAGGACAAGACACACCTACGAGGCAGTATGCTGTGCAGTAGTGAAATTTCTAGAAACAGAAAGCCGAAAGTGGGCGTGGGGGAGGTGGAGAATGAAATAATACAGAAGGCTGAGACTTTAAAGGTTCTGCCTCATGGGGGCAGGAGAAGTTTGGGAACAGTGGAGTGCCTCGTGCTAGCAGTAGAGTTTGGGAACAGTGCTGGCAATGCAGCCTTGGGCAGGCGGCTTGTCTCTCTGAGCTCTATTCTTCTCATGGATAAAGTGTGGAGTGGCCGTGAGGATTGAATAAGCTGTGGTGAGTCAGCTGCAACTGTTGTCACTGTTTTCTGTGTGATGAAGCAGTTTGCTTCAGATGAGAGGAGGTACCTCCGGTATTAGTGAGCACGTGTGAGCAGCACCCTCTGCTGTCTGTTCTACTGTGGCATTCTCTGAGACACTGGGACCTTGACTCACTTTGACCCCGTGTCAGACTAACATCGAGAAGGAAACACCAGATCACACATTCGTGGGCTAAGCCAAATGTGTGAGTAAGATTATTGCCGCCTGTCCCTTTTAATCAGGACAGGTGTGCCCGACAGTAGCTGACCAAGGCAGGGCCTGTTGAAGTCATGAGGATTGGAGGGTGTGTGTCAGACTGCTCCTGATTGCACTCTGAATCAAGCCATTCATTCATCCGTTTCCTCATTCACTCATCCCACATTCATTCATTCATTCATCCCCTCACTTATTCACTTGGTTTAGCTTGGGACTAGGGCTGGCAGACCAACTGAATGGCCCCTTTCCTCAGCTAGCAAGACATTTGTCTCCTCTGGGTCTCCCACATCTATGCCTGTTTCTGTGTCCAACTTCACCCCTTGTAAGAATGTAAAATTGGATTAGGGCCAACTTACTCAAGTAGGGCCTTATCTTAATTGAATTATATTTGCAATGACCCTATTGCCAAATAAGGTCATGTCGGGAGGTCCTGGGGATTAGGATTTGAGCAGATGAACCTGAGTTCAAAGACAAAATTTAACCATAGCAACTATGCACTGGAGTCAGGTTGTCCTGATTCAAATGCCAGCCATGTTTCGCCCTTGCATTGTGGCTTTGGGCAGAGAGTGATTCCACCACAGCAGGTATAGTGCCAGCCTGGAAGATGCCCAGGGGCCTGTGGGCCTCATGACACTTGCTGTCATTCCTTTCTCAGCAAACGCTGGCAAACTCCTGAAGCCCTGGATTAGGCACTCCTTTAGGTGTGGACCATCTTAGTATAACCGGGATCTGCAGAATAGCACCATCCTTAGCATTCAGAGGAGAAGGAGGTACAGAGGGGAGTGACTGACTCATACCACGTACCACATGCTGGAGCAGGGCTGGGGCAGCCCTAGTGGTCATGGAGCATGGGCAGAGGGACTCAGCCCTCTTCTCTTTCAGGGGGAGATCGGCCGAGAGATGTATATTATCCAGGCTGGGCAGGTGCGGGTGCTGGGTGGCCCCGATGGGAAGACTGTGCTGGTGACTCTCAAAGCTGGATCGGTGTTTGGAGAGATAAGGTCAGTGTGGATGGGGTTAAATGCCCTCTAGGCAAAGGCTGGGGGTAGGGGATCAAGGGAAAGCATAGTGGGTGCAGCACTGACACCTGTCAGCATGTTCAGGGTTGGTGCCACCATTGTGTTCCGGGAGGAGGGTAAGGGACGTAGAGTCATCAAAACCAAAGTGGCAGGGGTGAGTTAAGAGTACTGGCTGCTCTTGCAGAGGACTTGGGTTTGGTTCCCAGCACCCACATGGCAGCTAACAGCCATCTGTAATTCCCAGGAATTCGATGCCCTTTTCTTGTCTCTGAGGGCATTACATGTGGTATGTTTACATGCATGCAGGTTAAACACTCGTGCACATGAAATAAAAATAGATTTAAAAATTTTTAAAAACCAACAAAGTTGCTGGGCGTGGTGGCATATGCCTTTCATCCCACCATTTGCGAGGCAGAGGCAGGTGAATCTCTGTGAGTTCAAGGCCAGCCTGGTCTACATAGTGAGTTCCAGGACAGCTGGGGCTACAAGGAGACCCTGTCTCAAAAAAGACAAAAAAACAAACAAACAAACGAACAAAAAACAACAAAGTGACAGAGCACAGTAACACATGCCTAGGGAGGCCATTGGAAAGTCAGCCTGAACAAAACAGTGATACACTATTTCAAGAAGCAAAACCTTGGTTAGGTGTGGTGGGGCGCACCTTTAATCCCAGCACTTGGGAGGCAGAGGCAGGTAGATCTCAGTGAGTTCAAGGCTAGCCTGGTCTACTTAGTGAGCTACACAGTGACCTTGTCTCAAAAAAAAAAAAAAAAAATGAGACCGAACAAAGAGAAACCCTAAAAACCGCAGCACCCAGAGGGTCTCATCTCACGCTCTCTTTTGCACTCCAGCTTGCTGGCTATCGGGGGCGGGAACCGGCGCACAGCCAACGTGGTGGCCCACGGCTTTACCAACCTCTTCATTCTGGACAAGAAGGATTTGAATGAAATTTTGGTGCATTATCCCGAATCTCAGAAGTTACTCCGGAAGAAGGCCAGGTCCATAATTCCTGTTGTTCTTTTCCTTTTCAACTTTTGAACAATGGCAGGGAGAAGGTTTTCTCTCATGTAACTGTAGTATCTTGTTCTAGTTTGTTTCTTCATTGCTGTGACAAAACACTCTGACCACTACCACCTTGGGGAGGAAAGGGTTTACTTACTTTACATATCCCAGGTCACAGTTCATCCAGAAGCCCAAGATAGGAACTCAGGGCAGGACCCTGGAGGCAGGAGCTGGAGCACAGGCCATGGAGGAATGCTGCTTACTGGCTTGCTCCCCTGACCCCTGATCAGCCTGCTTTCTTATGCAAGAGATGCCCACCTGCCCAGGGGTGGCACTACCCGCAGTGGGCTGGGCCCTCCCACACCCCTCCACAATCAAGAAGGCCCCACAGATATGACCACAGGCCAGTCCAATGAAGGCAGTTTCCCAATTGAGGCTCCCTCAACCCAGGTGTGTCAAGTTGACACTAAAGCTATCCAGCACATATCTTTACAAAAATCAAGGTGTTTGGTATGGAAACGATGCTATTTGATGATCTATAATCCATATACAGTTTTGTTGTCTGATAGCTTTGCTTTCCTTCTTTCACTTCCTGGATCAAGTTGAAGAGCCTGCCCTGCATTCTGTGCTCTGCCTCCTGTCTCCTCTGACCTGGGATAGTTACTCAGCAGTGTCTGTCTCTAATGGCTTCTACTTCTTCACAGTAGACAGGCCAGCTAGGTTGTGGGAATGCCCCTCAGTTGGGTTTGGCTGATGTTTTCTGGTAATTACCTTCTGGCTCTGCATTTGGAATAAGACCGATGTGTTGTGAGCTGGGGTGTATGGAGGTCTCATGACCCCCATTTCTACCACTATGGTGAGTTTACCTCAGTCACATGGATAAGGTTTCTGCACTATAAAGTTACTATTTCTGTCTTTGTAATAATAAGCCATGATTGAGGGCCTTTGGGGGATTATGTAGATGTCCCTGTTCCCAGTGGGCACCTGTCACTTGGTGAATACTGATCTGCCTGTGGCTTCTTCCTCAGAACGGCTGTGCTGACTGTAAGTGATCATCGTCCAACCCCATCTCTCCTCTCTGTAGCTCCAGTCCACCAGCCCCTCCTCTTTTGAGTGTTTATTCATTGACCTGTGTGAGCATGGATTACTTTATTTACAAACATCCTGTTACATTTGTTATTCTGAGGCTCAGTTGTTTGGTCAGTGGGCCCCTCTTCAAGCTAACTCTTGTCATCCTTTAGTGTCCCCATCCCAGTCTAGTATTTCCTAATGTCTGTTGGGGTTGGGGTTGGGGGAACCAGGCATAGCAAGGGACCTGGATAACCTTGGGCTTTCCCTGCTGCCTCCCTGAAAACACTAGTTTTTCCTTCTAGTGGAAAATGTTTGGGGGGAGCTTCTTGGGGGATAGGGTCTGACCCAGGGTTTTGCCCATGTTAGGCGCATGTTCTAACACTGAGCTACAGCCCCAGCCCACCAATGACTTAGAAACCAAGATCTAGGGGTTGGCAAGATGGCTTCATGGTTAGGACCACTGGCTGTTCTTGCAAAGGACCCAGGTTTGATTCTCAGCACCCACATGTCGGCTAACAACTGTCTGTAACCCCAGTTCTAGAGATCTGATGCCCTCTTCTGGACTCTGTGGGCATTGTATGCACATGGTGCTTACGTACATGCAAGCAAAACATTTGTACATATAAAATAAAAACAAATAGACTAGTTAAAAATTTTTAAAAAGAGCTGGAGAGATGGCCCAGAGGTTAAGAGCACTGGCTGCTCTTGCAGAGGACTTGGGTTCAGTTCTCAGCACCCACATGGTGGCTAATAATCATCCTTAACTCCAGTTCCAAAGGAGTTGATACCCTCTTCTGGACTCTGTAGGCATTTCATGACATGAGTGCACTTACACCCATGCAGACAAAATAGTCATACACATAAAATAAAAATAAATAAAAATTTAAAAAATGTAATGGAAATAAAGAAACCCAGATCTAGGCCTGGCATAGTGTTTATGCCTATAATTCCAGCACTTAGGAAGCAGAAGCAGGAGAATTTCCAAAAGTTCAAGACCAATCTGGTCTACATAGCAGATTCTAGGCCATCCAGAGTTATATAGTGCAATCCTGTCTCAAAAAACAATTTAAGTAGGGGCCAGAGAGATGGTTCAGCAGTTAAGAGCACTGAGGACCTGATTGCAATTCCCAATAACCATGTCAGGTAGTTCACAATCGCCTATAAATCTAGCTCCTGGGGGATCCAGTGCCTCTGGCCTCCATGGGTATACACACACACACACACACACACACACACACACACCACACAATTAAAAATAAAAATAAAATCTAGGTTGGGCACGTTGGTGCACACCTTTAATCCAAGCACTGGAGAGACAGAGGCAGGTGGAAATCTGTGAGACTGAGGCCAGCTTGGTCTATATGGTGAGTTCCAGGCTAGGTGGGGCTACAGGGAGACCCTGTCTCAAAAATACCAATCAATCAATCAATCAATCAATCAATCAATAGAAAACTGAAGCCGGGCGTGGTGGTGCACGCCTTTAATCCCAGCACTCAAGAGGCAGAGGCAGGCAGATCTCTGTGAGTTCGAGGCCAGCCTGGTCTCCATAGCAAATTCCAGGCCAGCTGGGGCCGCAGGGAGACCCTGTCTTAAAAGACAAAAAAACCCAAAAAACAAAAACAGAAGCAAGATGTGAACCTGAGGAGCACTTTTGCTGTGGGGTGCTATTAGGTTTCTTCACAGACAGAGCTAAGAAGCACCCCTACACCTGTGTACAAAAATACAAATATATAGCCACAGACATTAGTAACAAAGCTAATAATACAGTGATTAATTATTGATCCATCTATAAAACAATTTCAGAACAACCCTAGAATTTGTTCTAATCTTCCCTCTTTGATACTTCTAAATCCCTTTTCCCACGCTGAGAAATTTGGATGTCTTTATCTGCGTTTATTTATTCATTTGTTCAGTCCTATAACATAATGTTTTAATCTTTAAAAAGTTTATTTATTTTTATTTTAAATCTTTTATTTTATTTTATGTGTATGCGTGTATTGCCTGCATGTAGGTAAGTGCGCTCGTGTCATGCAATGCCCTCGGAGGTCAGAAGAGGCTGTCGGATCCCCTGGGACTGGAGTTACAGACAGTTGTTAGCTGCCATGTGGGTGCTGGGATTCCAACCTTGGTGTTCTGCAAGAACAACCAGTGTTCTTAACCGCTGAGCCATCTCTCCAGCCCCTTATTTTTATTTTATGTGTATGAGTGTTTTGCCTGTATGCATGTAAGTGCACCATGTACATGTGGTGCTTGTGAAGGACATAAGACAGAGTCAGATCCTTGGAACTGGTGTTGTAGTTAGTTATGACCTGGGTGCTGGGACCAAACTCAGATCCTGTGCAAGAGTAGCCAGTGCTCTTAATAGCTGAGCCATCTCCCCAGCTCTGGTGCTTCAGAATTTTTAACATACCACCACTAAAAAGCAACTGTAAGCAGAGTTCAATATCCAATGCAGTTCTTTCTGTCTTTAGTGTGAGTATGTATGATAGAAGTACTGTGTTCAAAGTTATGGGTCAAAAGGTGGGGTGCGGAGCCCTTGCCTTGGGTGGCTGGGGCCCTAGGTTCATCTCTGGAGTGGAAGTGGAGTAGGGTGTTTAGATTAGCTCTCTTAGGATGCTGTGCGTTCACCTGCTACTTGCATTCTGTTTTATGGCTCCATCCACCCTGATCTTAGTTGATTTTGTTGTTTTTGAACTGCTGAGCCATCTCTTCAGTCCCAGCCTTGACCCTTTGAATCTCCTATCTCAGCCTTCTGCATGCTGGGAGTACTGACATGCCTGGAAGATTTGTTATTGTTGAGACTATAAAACATTGGAGCTCAGTTTTCACATCTGTATGAAGGTAACCACCCCGTACTTTGCCTGTGTGAAGACGTAAAGTAGTCCACTAGAATGTTCCCAGTGGTGCCTTGGGCAGCTGAGACGCCCAATCTTATTAATAGTCCATGGAACTTTTTTCTGTTTTTTTTTTTTTTTTGAGATAGAATCTCATGTAGCCCAGGCTATTCTTGAACTTGTGATATAGCTGAGACTGGCCTTGAATTCCTGACCCTGCTACCTCTGCTACCACATCCAGCCCACATTCTGTGTTTGCAGATTCTCCTCTTGGGAATGTTTCTTTGAGATCAGTGTTCACAGGCTCCTGTGGTCACTCACAAACTTGCACAGAGTGGCCGAAAACTGAGTTGCCCAAAGTAAATATTCCAGCTAACAAACAACATAACACTCTGCCTTCTTGTTTCAAGATACCTAAGATGACCCAAAAGGAGGAAAGACCTATTTTGGCTCATGGCTGCCTGACCTGGTCATTTTAGACCTGTGGTGAGGAAGGACATCATGGTGGGGCGCACATGGTGGAGCAAAGTTGCTTACCTCATAAAGGAGAGAGAGAGAGAGAGAGAGAGAGAGAGAGAGAGAGAGAGACAGAGAGAGAGAGGAAAGAAACAGAGATAGAAAGACAGAGAAACATAGAGAGAGACTGGAGCTCCACTATCCTCTTCAAGGCCATACCTACCATTGACATTACTTCCTCCCACTAGGCCCCACCTCCTAAAGTTCCCACTACTTCCTATAATGCCACAGGCTGGAGACCAAACCTTTAATACACCAGTTTTTGGGAGACTATTAAAATTTAATCCAGGGCTGGGTGTGGTAGCACACACCTTTAGTCCCAGCACTTGGGAGGCAGAAGCAGGTGGATCTCTATGAATTCGAGGCCAGCCTGGTCTACATGGTGAGTTCCAGGCCAGCTGGGGCTATAGGGAGACTTTGTCTCTAGGAGACAAAAAAAAATTATCCATAATAAGTATTTTGTGTGGCTTATAAGGGTCATATTTTACACATTTTGTGCTTTTTGCTGATGTTTTTGCTATTTGCAGTCATTCCTGATCATAGTGACAAGTGCCATCTCAGCCCCCTAAGCCCAAGGAGGCTGCCTTCCAGAGAAAACACCTGTGCTGAGCTTTGTCAGGCTTGAGTGACACGCTGGTGACTGTGAATCCAGTATTACCAGAGCAGCTGTATGTTCAACGAGACATTTTAAAACACAAGTCCACATAAGCAAGGTTACAATGAGTCCTTTTTCTGCATTGCTGGAGACCAAACCGGGAGCCTTATAAATGCTGGGCAAGCCTCTACCACTGAGCCACAACCCCAGCCTGAGGGGAGCCCACATGCTGCATCTTGGTGGCAGAAGAACACTGTGATGAAAGGGTCCTGGTCTCTAGGCTTGTTTCCCCTGAAGCCTTATTTTTATGTTCGTGGGGACCTTGTAGGATATATGATTACTGTAAGTCAGAGAAGCTGACACTTTGCTCTTTGCTTCCTGCCCTCCCCAGCCCCCAACCACCAGCCAAAAGAAGAAGACACAGGGAAGCCATGCTTGTCATTGTCACCCCCTCTTTGGGGTGTTAGATAAAGGTAGACAAGTCCATTGGGGTCCTGCAGGGTGCCCCTGCACCTGCACCCTGGGCTACTGAAGGCCAAAAGCCTCAACAGACAGCCGAAGAAGGGGCAGGATGGTAGAGGCCCTCAACTCTGAGGGTTAGGGCTTGCCAAGCCCATCAGAGGGGCTGATCCAGGAGCAGGGCAGGGGTAAGAGAGGTGGAGATCACTGTGTGAGCAAGTCTGCCAGTCACAGGAAAGGCTTTCTGGGAACCAGGGGGCTCGAGTGTCTCAGCTGGTGGGGATCATCAAGGGATTCTGTCCAATCCCCACTTTACAGATGAGGACTGAGGCCCCTCAAAAAGGCAGTCGCTCAACCCTCAAACAAGGAGATGAGCCAATCAATGCATGCCTGTTACAGGCATGGGTCTGAGTCCCAGGGTTCCTGCCAGTGTCCCCAGGGTACCTGTTGAATTATCCAGGTGTCTCCTAACAAAGAATTAGACCAGGGACATTGAGTTAGAAATAAAACTAGAGACTATTCTCAAGAAAGAGAAAACACTTGTGAGAATGGAAGTGGGCCAGCTTGCTGAGGGTTAAATGCATGTGCTCAAAAGCCCTGCCACAAGGCAGGCTTTTGTAAGATTTTTTAGTTTTCATTTTATGTGTATGAATGCTTTGCCTGCATATAAGTGTACCCATGTTGTGCAATGCTTGGGGAGGCCAGAAGGGTGCAGTCAAAGCCCCCTGAAGCAGAATGGTTGTTAGGTGCCATGTGGGTGCTGGGAACCAAACCTGAGTCCTCTGCAAGAATGGCCAGTGCGCTTAACGGCTGAGCCATCTCTCTCTAGCCGTCTTTGTAGATATTTACATAGCATTCTCTCCCCCAAGCTTGTCTAGCATGGACTTTTCTCTCACATGCTCTATTCATTACAAGAAACCCAGGTGGGGAAGGGCTTCCAGTCTTTGCAAACTGGCCTGAGCAGGCTCCCTTTGTGGTATGAAGCTAGAGTGGGAAAGGGCTTCCAATCTTTGTCAACTGACCCCCGCCCCGCACCCACACACACACTTTTAATCTTGGTGCTGTGGTAGCCAGTTGCTACTTTTCTGCCACATATACCTTTTTCCAGAGCCAGTGGTTGGATCCGAATTACAGGACAGAGTGCCGCTTCTGAAAAGGGGAATTCCCTTCCTGTGGCTGTGTCCGGAAGCCGGCACTGATTCAAAGCAGAGCAGCCAGCAGCTGTCTCCGAGCTAGCTCTTTGTGTCATTGCAGCACCACGCTGAGCCTTCCTGCTGACTGTCACACCATGAATTACGGACTCACATGGCACAGGTGACAGAGCCTGGCTGGTGTGTCTGCATCTGAGGCCTCTGATGAATGATCGCACTTGTGTCTCCTGAGGGAGTCCAGGGAGAAATGCAAGTCTCAGGCGATTAATATCACCTCACATAATTTAAACCCATTGGCTCTGATTAGATAAGCAGCCGGCAGTGGCTCCGTTTTTAAACAAACAAGTTGCGCTGGCACCCTGATGAATGAATTTGCCAATTAGCAGTCTTGCCCACTAGATTGCAGGCGAAATGCATTTGTTCTTGAGCCAAGCTCCTCATCACAAATTCATAACATGAAGAATTCCCTGGGAAAGGCACAGGCTCTGTCTGGTGGAAAATTCTATTCTTATTTAGAGAAATAGGGTGCTGGGTCTGCATCTGACATTTCCTGACAACTTGGAGCATGTCACTCCTTGCCCCAACTCTGAGCCTCAGTTTCCCCAACTTCCAAGAGCACAATAATCCCAGTCTTTTCTGTTTCGTAGAACTTTGTGTTTTTCTGGGAGCGAGTATGTGTGCATGTTTGTGTGTGAATGGGTTCATGTGTGTGCCTGTGTGTGGAGGCCAGAAGACAACCTCAGGTGTAGCGCCTCCTCAGGTGCTGTTCAGCTTGCTGTTTTTGATTTTGTTGTTTTGTTTTGTTTTGTTTTGAGACAGGGTCTGATAGTAGCCTTGGTTGGCCTGGAACTCCGTATATAGACCAGGCTGACCTCGATCTCATAGAGATCCACTTGCCTCTGCCTCCTGAGTGCTGGGACTAAAGGCATGTGCCACTACACCCAGCCAATCTTGCTTTTTTGAGGCAGGGTCTGCCTGGGACCCGGGGCTCACAGTTCTATTAGGCTGACTGGCCAGCAAGCCTCAGGGATCCAACTATCATTGCCTCCCCAGCGCCTGATTACAAATGTATACCACCATGCACAGCTTTTCATGAGGGTCCTGGGGATCAAACTCGGGTCCTCATGCTTGTGTGGCAGACACTTTACTGAATACGACATCTCTGTAGTCCCACAACACGGTATTGTCAGCATTCAAAAAGGGGCACTGGGGCCACAGGTATGGGTTTGGAGTCCATCTCTGCAGCTTCCTAGCTGTAAGACCTTGGGAAACTCCTCACCCCCTGTGGATTTCCATGGCTTTGTTTGGAGATGAAAATGAATAAGTTCTTTTTGTGAGGATCCCATGAGTCTCAGATGAGCGTGTGTATATGTGTTATCGAATGCTGTGGGGTACTGCCACCACAAATTTTCTCCCACATACATTTGTTACCTCTGTTTCTGTGGATTAGAAGTCTGGGGCTGAGACAAAATCCCAGCATAGATATGGAGAAGTGGGTAAGAAACCCCCAACCGACCTGAGGAACTATTGACAACCAATGGCAGCTGGGAGGGGAAGATTCAGTCTTGTTTAAGGGTAAGACTCTTGGTAGGTTAACCAGGCTCCAGTGAATGAGCCCACAACAAAGGGCATTTGAGGAGACAAACTTCACTCTATAGGCCTTAATAGGTTTGTGTGCGTGTGTGTGTGTGTGTGTGTGTGTGTGTGTGTATGAAATTTGGTGGGGGTTAGTAAGGGGATGCAGATATAAGAGGGGAATCTAAATATGATCAAAATATATTGTATGAAATTTGCAAAAATTCAATAAAAAAGAAAAAAAAAGAAGTTTGGGGCTGGCTTAGCTGGACCCTGTAAGAGACTGGCACCAAGGTGATCATTAGAGTGGGATCTCTCTCAGGTCTTCATAAAGGAAGGACCCATTCCACAGATCCTATGGCTGCTGGCTGAATCCAGATCCTCCCAGCACCTCGGGTCCTAGCTGGCTAACTGCCAGCAGCTGCCCCTGGCTTTTCCAAGATGGCTGGTGGCTCTGTCAAAACCATCAAGGGAGAGTCTTGTCTTGAGACAGAGATTATGTCCCTAGGAGACATGTTCTTGGAGTTGTCCTATATCCTGTTGGTTAAGAACAAGCCAAGTGTCCTCTTCACCTTCAGGGGGATGGAAGCAAGGATCACCCAGAGACTTGGAGAATAGGAAAGGAGACTGAGGAGGGGGACCCAGAGTGCCTGTGAAGGACCCCACAATGCACAAGCCTGCCACATGTAGATATTCAGCAAGTGCTGATGTTGCGATGGTCATGATGGAAAATGACCAACTCAGAGGGGAAGGAAGTGCTACAGATCTGCTTTCACCTGGGAAGCCTGCCCCTGATTCCATCTGTTAACATGTCTGAATTGACCCATTTTCTGTCTCTGTAAGACATACCTAAGGCTGGGGGTCTGGTACTTCCTTAGCACGCATGAGGCCTTAGGTTCCATTCCCAGCGCTGCAAAATAAAACAAAGGGAAAGAAAGAACCCCCTAAAACTGGGTACTTCATAGAGAGAATAAGCATGCTCAGCTCATGGCGTGGGAGGGTCAGTGGCATTGCACTGGAGTTGGCTTGGCTCAGATGAGCACTTCATGGCAGATAGCACCGTAGTGGGGGTACATGCAAGAGGTAGAATGGAGGAGAGGGGAGGGGCCTCACTTAGCAAGACAAGAGGACAGAGAGTGGAGAGGGGCCAGGCTGACTTTTACAACAGCCCCTCCTGTGAGAACTAACTAGGATCCCAGAAGAATTGGACCATTCTTTTAACACCTTAATGACTTCCCAATAGGCCCATCCACCTCTTAAAGGTTCCACACCACCTCCTCCCCCAGTACCCATGAACCCTCGGGGGCACACACACAAACCATATTTGTGTTCTTCAGTCTGTTGAATTGTGTGGCCTCAGGCAAGTGACTCGAACTCTCTGAGCCTCAGTGCTTTTATCCTTAAGGCACAGACAAAACCCCACCTAACTATAAGTTTAATCATTCAATGAGATCTATACATAAAGTACTTAACACTGTATTTGCCCAGCAGAAGCATCACCACCACCACCACCACCACGACATAGCTCCATCACAAGGGCCCAGATAGGCACAGCTGAGATGTAAGTGAATGCTGCTCTCTTTCAGGCGCATGCTGAGAAATAACAACAAGCCCAAGGAAGAGAAGAGTGTGCTCATCCTGCCTCCTCGTGCAGGCACCCCCAAGCTCTTCAATGCCGCCCTTGCTGCAGCAGGAAAGTTGGGTGCCAGAGGCGGCAAAGGTGGCAAGCTTGCTCACCTCCGAGCTCGCCTCAGGGAACTGGCTGCACTGGAGGCAGCTGCAAGACAGCAGCAGTTGCTGGAACAGGTAACGTAATGGGTACCTGGCCAATTGCGTCCCCTCAGCAGGTCTGTGCCAGGGAGAAGGCCAGGGACCTCTGAGACGGACCACACATTCAGTGTTGGGGACTTTTTGACAGAGGCTGTGATAGAAGCAGATTCAAGTCAGGTTGAGAAACCTGGGCATGGTGGCTCAACGTCTGTAATCCCAGGAGGCTGAGGCAAAAGGATTGCTACAAGTTCTATACCAGCCTGGGCTACATAGTGAGTTCCAAGCCAGCCTGTGCTATGTTGTAAGACCCTGTCTCAAAAAAAAAGATATCCTCCAAATTAATGTAACAAATTAGGTTGAGAAGAATGGGAACATGGGAGGGACTTCTAACTGACAAGTTCAAGCAAGACTGGATTCCAAGTTCCAGGGGTCTGGAGACTTGGCTCAGTAATGGAACTTAGCCTGGTCAAAGCCCTGGCCTGGTTTTCCCAGCCACCATCTCTGCTTCCTTACTGATGGCTCCACCTCCAGGCAGATCCCCCAGATCATGTCCTCCCATGTGGCAACCCCAACAGAAGGTATATCTTCGCCAGAGATTCAAGCCCAATTCCCCAGGACTCATTGTCATTGGATAGAGCTGGACCACATACCAATTCCTGAGTCATTCAATGTGGCCAGGGTGGTGTGGTGCTCCCAAGGTCTGGGTCCCATATCTGCCCACTCCTGGACTGGAAGTTGGGTTAAGTGCTCCTTGAGGGAAGTGTTGGTGCTGGCACAGTCTCAGAATATCTCTCCCCAGATGACAGGGATATTCTCTTATTTAATACTATGTCTACAGCCATTAAAATGATTTGGGAGAAAAATTCCTACAGCCAGGAACAGTGTCAATCCCCCCACCACACCCCTCCTGTTCTATTAACCTAAAGGAAATAGTCAAATTAGTTTTGGGATTTTTTTTTCTGTGATGAAAGCCAAGATCAATTAGAATAATTGCACTAATTTCATCTGCTCGTAATGTACTTCAGGGAAGCTGCTGGGAATGGAGGCACTAGGGCACTCAGTTGGGGGCTCTTTGCAGAAGTGGACAGCAGTCTGTGTGGCAGAGTTCAGAGGCGCCCAGTGAAGTCAGTCTTAGTCCAGTGTTGTGGGGACCCATTCAGTGTTCATTTGACAGTAGCGGTCTGACAAGTGACATCAAAGACACCTGAGATTCCAGGACATTGCCCAGCAATGGCCCCAGACAGAGGAAAAATGTGATTGCTTGACTCATTAGTTGTGAGCCTATAGATTGGGGTCTTTTGTACAGCTGTTGTGTGGGGGCTGTGGTCATGAACCCCAGGGTGCTCTGAAAAGGTGAAAAGCTTCAGCTGATATGGGTTCATTGCTCCCATTAGCACGTCACTGAGATGTGGATTCAATTTGCATGAATGTTCTAATGAAAGCATTCCCCTGAAATGCAAGAAAAACCAGGGCAGAATGGCAGGGCAAGGAGCTCTTTACTGCTCAAGTCCAGAGACACAGGTCCAAGTCCCAGCTCAGTCACCTGTCAGCTCTGTGACCCTAGGGAGACTCCCCACACTCATTGAGACCCAGATAACTTGTGGTTGTCACCTGGGGCTGTAAAGGTGAAGCAATGATATCCTTTTATTTTTTTAATTTTATTTATTATTTTTATTTTATGTGTATGAACATATTGCCTGCATGTATGTGAGTGCACCCATGTCATGCAATGTTGCAGAGGTCAGAAGAGGGCTTCAGATTCCCCTAGAACTGACAGTTCGTAGCCATCACGTGGGTGCTGGGAATCAAACCCGGGTCCTCTGCAAGAGCAGTCAGTGCTCTTAATCACTGAGCCATCTCTCTAGCCCCCAATATCCTTTTATTTTATGTGTGTTTTGCTTGCAAGTATGTTAAGTGCACCATGTGTGTATAATGCCCTCAGAGGTCCGAACTGGAGTTAGAGATGACTATTAGCCACCATATGGGTGCTGGGAACTGACGACCTGTTCTCTGCAAGAGCAGCCAGTGCTCTTAACTGCTGACCCATCTCTCCAACGCCAGTGATGTCTTTTATGAAAAGCTTCTTACACATGGCAGAGCACTTGAGCCTTCCCATGATTCTCCTGGTTCCATTTAGGGCTTGGAGCCTCAGAAGTTGTATCTGAGCACCTTACCCTGGGAAGGTGTCTTGAAGGTTTAGGGTGTACAGGGGAGGGAAGAACGAGCACTTCAAAACACAGAAGTGTGGAACAGGAGGAGCAGTAGGTCCCCAGAACTGGCTTGGATTCTAGAAGTATCCTGACACTACCCCTACCCCTACCCCCACCCCCCATCCTTCAGGGGTCTCTGTTCCTCAGAAACACACAGACTGCTCTCCTTTGGGTCTTGGGCAGCTGAGGCCCCCTCGGCCTCATCTGGGAATGTCCTCTCTTCCATTTCTTTCCCTGCAGAGCTGGGATAAGGGAGAAGAGGTGGGGACCCGGGTAGTCATGAAAGGCTTGTTTTCCTCTAGTTCCTCACTGATGTGTGGATCCTGGCCAACACCCATGGAAGAAGCCTAAGCTAGGGGCTGCAGTTGCCCACCAAGTCCCCAAAACACAAGATCACCTCAGCCTAATGTCTGGAATCCCACAGCATTCTTCCTGTGAAGGCTTCAACCTTTGAAACCTTCCAGAAAGGTGGCCAGGCCACAGGTGCCCCTGCCCTCTTCACATTTACTGTATGTGCTTAGAGTTTTTCTCACTTGCTCCAGGACCATACAACAAGAGTGTCTGAGTTTTGTTGGGGATGGCTCAGCCTTTGAAGAGGACTTGGTGACCCTCCATCACAGCCATCCTCCTCCAATAGGTCAGGGATAGTCTGTGCTTAAACCTACAACTTAACATTAGCTTTCAGCACCTTACTAGAGTTTAAAATATCATAAGAGCTGGTTGTGGTAGCTCACACCTGTAATCTCAGCTTTCCTGAGACTGAGGCAGGAAGATCCTGAGTTCAAGGCCAACTTGGACTTCATATCAAATTCAAGGTCAGCCTGGGCTACACATGGAGACACTGTCCCAAAACAAAACACAATACATCAAACAAACAAACAAACAAAAATGGACTTTACATACTTAAACTTCAATATGCCCATAATATATTTGGTGTTGCTTACACAACCCTGATGCATCTCTCTGTGACCACTAGCTTTCACTCCTCTGCACCACTACCCTCTTGGTGGGGTCCCCAGGGTGGGGACAAGTTGGTGTGCAGGATCCCTGCATGATTCCTTGGGGTAGCATGCTTCACATGTGGCCCTGTCTGGATTTCAGGCCAAGAGCGCACAGGAAGCCAGGGGACAGGAGGTCTCAGCTGCTACAGACCCACCAGCACCCCAGGACCCCCCAGCTGCTCCTGGGAAGCCTGAGACAGGTGGAGAGGAAGTGGCTGGGCCCTCCCAGCCCTCTGTGCAAATCCACATGAGCCCAGGCCAGGATCCTGGGGAGCAGATGCTGACTGTGGAGATGCCAGAGGAGAAGGACGAGGCAGAGGAGAAGAAAGACAAGGCAGAGGAGAAGAAGGAAGAGGCGGAGTGAGGCATCACCAGTGCCCCTGCAGGACCAGGGGTGATGGCCTCCCTGGTTCATAGTTAACCAACTGGCCAAGCTTCCTGCCCCAAAGATACCTCCTCAAAGACTTGGTGTGGAAACCATCAAATTTCATCAAATGGTCGTACCTCTGAACTCTCGCCATCCCTGGACAACCCTACCTCCCAGTGCAGTTGCTATTTTTAAGAACAAAATCTCTAACCATTTCAAAGTTTTTAGGAGGAGAGACAAAGGGGCTCAGACACTAGGGAATTAGAAAACTCAAGGGTTGATGAATGGCAGGGTCCCCACCAAATCCACCATCCTGTTTAAGTGATAGGCAAGAATCTGGAGTGGTGGTGCACACCTATAAACCCAGCACTCAGGAGGCTGTGGCAAGAGGATGATGAGTTCAAGGCCAGCCAGGACTTCATAGAAAGAATCTGCCTCAAAACAAACCAACAGAGAAACAGCTTGGGGATTCCTAAGTTCATCTAAGCATCTTGGGATCTGAGAGTGGTGAACATACCAGTCTAGTTGATGGCAGGTCATGTGAGCTCAGTAATTCGTACACTGAATATAGTGATTGGCGTTATTTTACTCCTCCAAAGGTTTTGCTTATTTTAACAGGTACTGATATTAAAAGTCCGCCATTCTGCTCCTCCCTGACAGCTCTCTGGGCGGGAGAACCATTGTTTAAAAAAGAGTATGCTTGTAGCTGGGTGTGTACATTTAGAATCCCAGCACCAGGAGGTTCAGGCAGGAGGATCACAAGTTTGAGGTCAGCCTGGGCAACATCACAATACCCTGCTTCAAAAAGAAAATGGAAAACATGGTTTGTTCATGATGGCAGTGTGACCCCTTGTACAGACATGGTGACATTTTAGTGATAATAAATGATAATGCCCAGTGGTGAGCATTTGCATCCCTTCCAACCTCATACTGTTAAGAATAACACTGCAAGGCCTTCAGGATGGCTCAGTCGGAAAAGGTGCTTGCTACCCAATGATACAAGTTTTACAACCTGAGTTCAAGCCCCAGAACGCATGCAAAGGTGGAAGGAGAGAACTGACTCCACAAAATTGTCCTCTGACCTCCACACATACACTGTGGCACATGTGCCCCCCACCAATAATAAATAAATAATCTTTTACAGGATTGGGGCATGGCTCAGTAGTAGGACACTTGCCTAGCCTATGTGAGGCCCTGGGTTTGATCCTCAGCACTAGAAAAAAGAATCATATACAAACCTAATTTCACTGATATGCTTTTTTGTTTTTTAAGCAGGAAGAAAGTCTGGGAGTCCAATAAGACTTATTTTTGAACTTGAACCTCCACTTATCATTCCCATATTTCCCCCTAGATTCTAAAACCCAGGCATAAAGAATGCTCCTACCTGCAGCAAGCAAGTATTCCAGATGTTCCTAGAGGGTAAATACATTGCCCTTCCGCAGAAAACAAGCTACTTCCTCAGCACCTTCACTGTGAGATCCCATTTCGCAAGGAATCGTTTTATATAAACACACTCCCTCTTTTAGATGTCAACCCTTGAATATATACTGCTTATTATATAAAGCGAGAGGTTCTTGGGGTTCCCCAAGAATTGTCCTGGAAAGAAAATTGGTTTTGAAATGAGATGGGCAGTGTTTTAATTCACAGAGCATTCTCATTTGGGACAACACTTTCACAAAACCTGGATATTAGGTAAGCTGAGCTGGGGACTGGCTGCTGGCTGAGGTATGAATGACACAGCTCAGGAAGGGCTATATTCCTGAAGTCAAACAGAATATGCATTTATGCTGGACCTCTCCTCTTTCAAATGTCTCTGCATGTCTTGCATTTTGGTAGATAATGAATAACGCATCATTTTTAAACTATGCAAATATTTTAAATAGAATTAAAACCAAGAAGCTATTTAAAATTTCACTATCAAAATGTGCTCAGCTGCCAGAACTATTTTAAGCTGTTTTCTCAGTAAATGTGAATACTTATGTATACTCAAGCTTTCATAGTACAGTGCATTTTAATTAAAGTATTTAGACAAATGCTCCTGGGTTATAGATTTATTTTAAAAACTGGGTGTCAGAGCCATGTGATGGGGCACACCTATAATCCCAATATGTAGGAGGTAGAAACAGGAGGATCAGGAGTTCAAGGCTAGCCTAGGCTACATGGCACCATTGAGGCCAGTTTTGGCTACATAAAACTTTATCTGACTTTATCTAAAAAACAAAACAAAACTACCAGTCAGGGGCTGGAGAGATGGCTCAGTGATTAAGAGCACTGGTGGCTGCTCTTGCAGAGGACCTGGGTTCCACTCCTACACCTACCCACATGGTGGCTCACACCTAGCTGTAGCTACAGTTCTAGGGGATCTGATGTCCTCTTTTCTCCATGGGCACCAGACCTGCATATGGTGCCCATTTGTGCATGCGTGCAAACACTCATTCCCATAAAGTAAAAATAGATGTTTTAAAAACACCAAATGAAAAACTGGAAGTCAGGTTTGGAAGTACATACCTGTACTCCCAAGCACTGGGGCAAGGGCTGAGGCTGGAGGACTGAGAGTTCAAGGTCATCTTGGACTACATAGGGAGACCTTATCAAAGACAAACCAACCCGTCTACCATAAAGGGTGCCAGTGAAAAGGGGCAAGCCACAAAAGGATACACACTGCTCCCTGGTGGTAGAGGGGAAACAGAAGCCTTTTCTAAAAGGGGAGCCAGATGGCCATGCTAAAAATTGACTGACAAGGTTGGAGAGATGGCTCAGTGGTTAAGAGCACTGACTGCTCTTGCAGAGGACCTGGGTTCAGTTCTCAACACCCACATGGTAGCTAACAACCATCGGTAACTCCTGTTCTAGGGGATCCAATGTCCCCTCTGACCTCCATGGGTACTGCACAACATGGGTGCAAAACACCAACTCCTCCTTAAGGAAGGGTCAGCAGTGGAGACCAGGTCTATTTTACCATTTCCACGTCTCAGAGGACTGTGGCTGAGCACCATTTTGAGGGAGAACCTATTGTTTAAGACCGACATACCCCAAGGGCCTGATCTTAAAGTATAACCACAAGCCAGGGAGCTTGTAATCAACCTGGCACAGCCATGGGAGGCAGTCATGGACAGGGGCCACTGACAGGTTGGACAGTTCAAGTGGCAGAAGGCTCAGCTCAACTGTGAAGGGTACAGTGAACACACACTTGGTGGCTAAGAGCTAAGCCCATGATCTGAGCTTAACTGTAGAGTGTGATAGCCATGAGCCTGAGGTCCCAGGGTAGGTCAGCCTCTGGCCCAGGCCTTCTTGAGGTCCATGGTCTCAGGGAATGAGCATTCTGCATCCACAGCTGTGCCCCTCCAGTGGAGGGTGGGGGTGGGGGTTAATGCTGAATGGGTTTTGAAAGTACAGAGACTGGTTCTCCTATACAGATCTCAGCCATGTTTGCTTTCCCAACTACCAATGTATCTCACTTGGGAGACACTCCCTGCTCAGCACATTGGCCATCCCACAGGAAACAAACTGGGGAGTCTCCAGAGTGAGAGAACCTGCCCATCCCACAGGCTGTAAAACTAAGCATGGCCAACAGAGGCTCCCAGTCCTCCAAGAAGGGAAGCTACTAAAGTTGTGGACAGCTGTGCTGAACATCTGTCACCTGCCCATCCCAGGTTCAGCACCAGCCCAAAATGATAGAAGGATAAGAATCTCCAGGTTCAGGCTGATGGAGAACAGGATGAAGAAGAGAAGGATGATGGTGACGCTAAAGAGATTTGCACTCCTACCCACTGGTCTAAGCTTGATCCAGAGTCCATGAAGGTAACTGATCTCCGAAAAGAATTAGAAAGTCGTGCTCTTAGTTCCAAAGGATTAAAATCCCAGCTAATAGCGCGATTGATGAAACAGCTTAAAGCAGAAAAATAAAAAGAGGAACAGAAGGAATCAGAGAAGTCTGAAAAGGAGGAGGAAGATGAGGATGACGGGAAATCTGAAGATGATATAGAGGAGGAAGAAAGGAAAGGCCAAGAGGAAATGGATCGCCAGCCTCGGGAAAGAAGATACATTTTGCCCAATGAACCAGCCATAATTGTGCATCCAAACTGGCTGTGAAAAGTGGCAAGTTTGATAGCAGCATAATGTCTTTGAGTGTCCTTTTGGATTACAGATTAGAGGATAACGAAGAACATTCATTTGAGGTTTCATTGTTTGCAGAACTTTTCAACGAAATGCTTCAAAGAGATTTTGGGGTCAGAATATACAAATCATTACAGAAGAGCAAAAAAAGATGAGAGAAAAGATAAAAAATAAAAGAAGAAAGAGATAATATCAATGAACCAAAACCCAAATGGAGAAAATCAGGCGACGATAAAGATAAAAAAGAAGATGGAGATGGGAGGAAGGAAGAAGATAAAAGAAAAGATGATTCTAGAGCTGATGAGGAACCTGGAGAAGATAATAATCCAGATGAATATGACCCAATGGAAGCAGAGGAAGCAGGGGGTGAAGGAGATGATCGGGATGAGGAAGCGATGAACAAATGCTTCGAGATGAAAAAAGAGATGTTAACAGACACTGCAAGGAACTCTCTAAAGATAAGGGAAAGGAAAAGACTCAGACGATCACAGTTAACAGGGATCTGTCAATGGCCTTTGTTTATTTTGGTCAAAGCCATTGTGGTTACCTTCTTGGAAAGGATTGGGAAGAAATACTACACAATCTTGGACTGCATCTTTCTCAGGCTCAGGTAAAGAAATTTCTTAATAAATAGTACTCTGAGAATCCTGCTTTTATCAGAAATTAACAGACACCTCAAAAGATGATGAAAATCATAAAGAATCAGAATCACTGCAGGAAGATATGCTAGGAAATAGATTATTACTTCCAACACCAACAGTGAAACAGGGATCAAAGGACGTAGAAGAAAATGTGGGACTTATTGTATACAATGGTGCAATGGTTGATGTTGGAAGTCTCTTACAAAAATTGGAAAGGAGAGAGAAAGTGAGAGCTGAGGT